ATTCCAATAAACCTTATATTGAAATGCATAAAGAATATGAGGATATTAGTAAAATAATAGAACCAAATAAACAAATAAACTTAATTCCAGAAAAATATGAATTTTGTATAACAAAAAATAAACCTGAAATAACAGAATTAAATGAAGGAGAATATTCTAACAATATAACATTTAAGGATGAAAAATTAATCAAAAGATCAAAAAGTCTTAGAATATCTAATAAAAACCAGTTAGAAGAATTTAATAATATAAAAGAAATAAAACTATATAGGAATGTTGGAAATATGAAAATAGAAGAAGAATATTATAATGAGAGAGAAAATATAAATGGACCAAATATATTAATACATACAGGAGCTAGTGAATGTCATAGAGCTTCAATCAGAAATAAATGATTAATAATTCATAAAATTGATCCATATAGATATGTAAATTTTGATGGACAGGTACATATTATAGATTTAGAAGTTAAGGGACCAATAAAAATAGGAGGAATAGATCTTTTAGTACCATGTTATAAAGATAAAAGTATGGATATATACCCTCATATACTTTTGGGAATGAGTTTTTTAATTGAATTAGAAGATTATAGTATAAAAAAGAAAAGGATTATATATAGTCCATAATGGACAAACTATATTATGTAAAAAGAACTAAATGAATAATCAGATAAAATTTTTATTGACTGTATATATACAACTTACTATTATAAAAATAAATATAAGAACTCGTGCTTTAATAGATACATGAAGTGATATTACAATATTTAAAAGTTTTTTTTTATAAAATCATGGAATGATAATAGTAACATAAAAATAATTGGAGTCACAAGAGAAAGTACCCAGATAATTAATAGCGCCGATAAAGTTAGTATAATTCTTGAAAGTAACAAGTTATAATAAATAAAATTTATAAATATGATAAATTAAAATGTGATATATTATTAGGAAATGATTTTATACAACAATTTTTCAATATTATAAGCAAAATAATTATATGATAATATTACAAACGCCTTGTGGACATTTATTAAAAGTTTCAAGAGAATTTAGACTTTACTGAGTTGAGCCAACCCAGCGTGGTGATAAATGAGAGAAAAAATTAATAATATTTAATGAAATAAAAAATAAAAGAATATTGTATAAAAAAGTTTTGAAAACGGGAATAGAAATAAGTATAGAAAAAATTGTTGAACAATTAGAAAAAGTTTATGGAGAAAATTCATTGTTATTTTGGAAACTATATCACCCTAAAGTCAAAATAGAATTAATAGAAAATGTTATAATAAGAGTCAGACCAATGATATATACTATAGAAGATACACAAGAATTCAAAAATCAGATAAAAAAATTGTTAGAACAGAAACTTATTAGACCTAGCAATGGACCTCATAGTAGTCCAACCTTTATGATTATGAAACATTCTGAGCAGGTTAGAGGAAAAGCTAGAATGATTATAAATTATAAAGAATTAAATAAATATACTAAATTTGATGGATACTTTTTACCAAATAAATAAGTTTTAATAAACCTTACAAAAGGAAAACAATATTATTCTAAATTCGATTGTAAATCAGGATTTTGACAAATAAAAATGAAAGAAGATAGTATACAATATATTGTATTTAGTACACCTCAAAGAAAATATGAATGATTGGTAATGTCATTCGAATTAAAAAATGCACCACAAATCTATCAAAGAAAAATGGATAATATATTTAAAAAGTTTAATGAATTTCTAGTTTTTTATATAGATGATATACTGATATGTTCTAACAGTAAAGCAGAAAATATGAATCATTTAATACAATTCATAAACGAATGTAAAAAAGAAGGAATTGTACTTTTTAAAAAGAAATCTATAATGAAAAATAAAAAATAGATTTTCTTGGATTATCAATAGATAAAAAAAGGAAGAAAATTACAGACTCATATATCTAAAGGATACAAAGTTTTCTAAATAAATTAGAATCTAAAGAACAAATACAAAAAATTTCAGGATGCTTAAATTATGCAGAAGGTTTTATTGAAAATCTTTCTAAAAAAAAATGCATAAAATACAAATTTTACTTAGAAAAATAAATACTAAATGATAGAATGAAAAATATACATAAATAGTTAAATCATTAAAAGAAGAATATAAAAATTTACCAAAATTAAGATTACCAGATAAAAAGATAATTTAATTGTTAATACTGATGCCTCAGATAAATATTGGGCAGCAATATTAAAAACAGATTTAGATGAAATTTGTAGATATTCAAGTGGAACTTTTAATCAAGCAGAAAAAAATTATACCACTCATAAGAAAGAATTATTAGAGGAATAAAAAAGTTCTCATTATTTTTGTTATCCAAGAAATTTATTATTGAAACTGATAATTCTCAAATTACAGGATTGGTCAGGAATAAATTACCATTAGAACCTCAATACAGAAAGCTCCATAGATGGCAAACTTATTTAGCATTTTATAATTTTGATATAGTTCATATTAAAAGAGTTAATAATTTTCTTGCAAATTTTCTCAGTAGAAATATATAATTTGTTGATGGATAAAGTTAGGGTCATGAATTTATACCAATCGATCCTACATATACAAAAAAAAGACAAATTTTCTTAAAGAATAATTTGAAGACATGGATACTGGAGCAACACAGATCTCAGAGATGCTCAACTCAAATATAAAAATATTGTTGAATATCACTACTGAACATCATAAAGGGGCCATAGAACTCAAGAATCAAGTTGATGCTATTGCAGCAAACTAAAAGATATATTGTCTTAAATAGATATATCAAAGAACTCAAAAATGAGTTTTCCAAATCAATACCAAATAGGACAGTTGGAAGCAGTAATGGACCCAAACGTAACAATATACTGACTAATAAAAAAGGAGATTCCATTTCAGTATCATCAACCAAAAAAGTGATGAAACATGGAGATAAAAGAGATTCTAAAACAATCAGCATCATAGACCAAGAAGATAAAATCCCTTTACATCCAAAAGAAGAAAAATATGCTGAAATAGTCAGAATTGTTTACAAAATAAAAATGAGTGATTCATATTTCATTTCTCCAAGAAATAATGTTTATCCTAGAATAATAGCCATGGAAGGAAGAGACCTTTCATTTATAAAAATTATGGCAGACATGGATTTATGTATTTGATATATCCACGAAAAGATTTGATTGAAATTTCAAATTTTGATGACATATTCATAAAAGAAGTATCAAGATTTGTCAAGGGACGAAGAATATATTTGAAATTTTATTCAATAAGTCCTGAATATGATGGAGTTGTTTACTATCCAATTGAACACATAAACTCAATTAGATGTGGTGAAAAATGATAGAAAAGTTCCAATAGTAACAAAATCATGGATCAGACATAGAAGAGCACTTGGAATTAAAGTCATATACAATATTGCCAAAAATTTGTTTGGCAAAAAATTCTCATGCTTGTACCAATATGAAAATTGGATGTTGGTATCAAATCAAGGACATGGAAAATCAGAAATATTGAAGGATTATATTACAAGATTCAAAATACATCAATTTTCAGGATATCCTACCACTATAAAAGAATTTTGCCAGCTAAGAGAGTACCCCAACTACATGTGAAAAAAGAAGACAATAATAGAGCACATTTGATAAAGTTATATGGAGGACAATAATATAGTTGCATGTAAAAATATAGAAGATAAAAAAAGATGCTCTTTGGATAAAAAGTTGAAGAAGCATGTGAAAATGTAGGCCTAAGGAGAAAAATAATAGAGAGGCAAGTGTGTCTTTGCTGATGTATTGAATGATGTAATAGATCAATTATAGAACCTCATATATTTGTATAAATAGAGGCATTGTAATAGATAGAGATCGTCTTATCTTGAAATCTCGAATTGTAATTAATAGTCACTCCTAAGCCATATTGAAAAACCAATTTTTCTGGAAATCCCTTTGTACTAAATAGAAACTTTGTATAAATTCTAATAGAAATAAAATTTCAATATTCTGATATCAATATGAGTTTCTAAATCTTTATTCCCAACGATTCTTGAAAGATCAAATAGAAAGTTTCCTTCTTATTTTAGTAAAAAGAGAGTTTTTTTTAACAAAAGTTTAGAATTTTATTCTTTAGAATTGATACAGTGAGAGCAAGAAGTTGAAATTGTAAAGATTCCATGAAGACAGGATGTCGTTGAAAGAAACAGTTTACATATTCAGAGCTCAAAGGTTACTCGGTTTTAAGAATAAAGATCCAGATCAAACTTAAGGTAAAACTATTAAATTTTTGCTAAAATTAGAATGAATCTTTTTAGATGTTAGAGAATCAAAAAGGAATAATTGCATGATTTGATGATTATTTATATAAATGTCAGGATATACAATTAAATGATTGGATAATTTATTAAAAAGAATGTTAGAAGTAATAAAAAATATATATTCTCAATTAGAAAATATGGATGCCTCTTCTGAAGAATATAATAATTAAATAATAAATGTGAACAATATGTTGCAGATTATTCCAATTTATTAGATCATAGAATGAAATTATAATAATTAAATAATAAATGTGAACAATATGTTGCAGATTATTCCAATTTATTAGATCATAGAATGAAATTATATTCAAAATAGAGTAAATATAAGATAAAATGTTTAAAATATTAAGATATGTGTTGCAATATAGAAAGAATCATTTCATTAAGGGCAATATAGATTTTTCCATGAAAATAAATAGTAATATACCAAATAGAAAAATCTCCCGGACAATGTAGAGAGTCAAACTGGGCCCACACATGATGTTGCCCAAACGGACCGCTCTCAAATTCTTGACCAGATTCACTTGCAAATTCTCTCCGGATCCATCATAGCCCGGCCCGTTGTTATATATAATTATCCAAGTCAATTTTCACGTGTGTACACAGCCTCTGTGTTATCTGTTGCAGGGAATCCCACCCCATTAGGAAAAGTCGGTTTAATTAAATTCCACTTAGAAGACAAATTCTCAAATAATTTCCCCGTTAGAAGCCAGCATTCCTTATCTTCTTCTTCACTGCTCCTTATCTTCTTCACTGCTCCTTCCTAAGTGTTGAACATAATTATACATATACAGAGGGATCTGAATTTATCTTCTTCAATTCTTTTGGTGTGCCAAGGTACATATTTTCTCTCTCTCTCTCTCTCTCTCTCTCTCTCTCTCTCTCTCTCTCTTTCTTAATGGTTTTTTATTATTTAACTGTACAATGGTTAATCTTTAGTTAGAATTCTTTTTTTCTTTAAAGAAGTGTGATTGATATTAAAAAGGGTTGTCTTTTTCAAAAATTTTGAATTTATTGGATTTAATTTGACACGTTAATAGAAAAACCCCCTTTTTATTAAATCTTATGATTTTATTTGTGGGTCGAATTTAATTTCTGGTTTTCTGATTTTTATGGTGAAAATTGATGCAGGTAGCTTCCTAAAGTTGAAGAAGCAATGGCGTTTACTATGAAACAAATGTCTCTGATAGTATCAACCTTTGGTATTCTGTCCTTCATAGCTGGAGTTATTGCTGAAAACAAGAAGGTTGAAATTTTATCTTAAGAGAAAAATTGAAGCATGTTCATAGTTTTATCAAGTGCTATTATATTTATAAATGTTAGTTGATTGATCGAATGTCTTTTACCCCGAATATTACTGGAACTACAGATTGCCTTTAGCATTTGTAGTTAAGTTTTAGGTTTGTTTAGTGTTATCATGTTCTCTGCACTATTAGATTTTTTTTATTTTTTTGGGTATATTTTCTTTTGTTATATTAGATATATAATAACAAGTATGAACAACTTTTATATCGTGCAAGAACGAAAAATTGTTTATTTTTGTGCATATAGAATGGAACATGATGAGCGTTTCCCATTCTATAATGACATTCATGGAATTTGATCAACTGAACTTGTTGAACTAGAATTGACTGGTGAATTTTGATTAGTTTTGTTCTTATATTTAGCGGCAAAGAGACTGGTATGCCTATCTTGGGCAATCTTTTTATATTTAAAGGTGGTGCTTAGGAATGAACAAAATGTTAATGTGTAGAAATTAGAATTTTGTCTTTTTGTAGAATTCTTAGCAGAAGTTAAAACCAAATATGCATGAAGGATGTTAGTGAGATTCATATAATATTTCAAGTCTTCTCATTCAGACAATTGCATACTTCTTTGCTACTAATACACAACCTTGTTTTTTGTTTCTAAATCTAGATTTTTTGTATCTCATATCTTGAACTATACTTGTATGCAACCCATATGTTTCATGTTTTCATTCTTGAATGTCCAAGTGTTTCTGTAACTGTAAACTAAACACATGATGGAAATTTTCCTTTAAAAGGAATCTCTTTTATATTGATCTGGATCTATGTGATGTCAGCTTGGGTGATAAAGCATGGTGTTCATAGGGATGTCAAACGGGCCGAGCGGCTCCTCGGCTCGTCAAAACCCGGCTCGTGGGCTGCTTGGGCACACGGCCCATGAGCCATTTTGACGAGCTCGTGGGCTCGTCAAAAAATATGAAAATTTAAAAAAATAAATAAATAAAAAAAAAAATAATCACGAGCTTGCGAGCGGCTCGTGAGCTTGACTCCGCTCGGCTCGGATCACGAGCTCATGGGCCAAGCCGAGCCGAGCTTGTCTTTCACGAGCTCGAGCCCGAGCCCGAGCCGAGCTCGTGAGTTAAAAGCCGGCTCGGCCCATTGCCATCCCTAGGTGTTCACTCTGTTGGTTATAAGTAACAAAATGTCAATGCATAGAGTTTTTTATTATTATTATTTTTTTCTCCCTTTTAATTCTAAGCAAATTTTTGAAAGACAATACATGAGTAATGTTAGCAATATTTGTATATCATTGAACCACCTCATTCAGATAATAATGGAAAAACATTTTTTTATTCTTCTCTGCTTGGATTTTGCAGCCTGCATCAGGAACTGTTATAACTGGGAAGGGCGTTGTTATTTGCAAATATCCGTCCGATCCCACTGTAGTTTTGGGGTACTTGTCCGTTGTGTTCCTTGCTCTGTGTACTGCATTTGGTTATTTATCTTTGTTTTACCCATACAAAGGAAAGTCGGTTCCACAGGCAGCTTTATTCCGAAGCACTGGCTTCATTGTCTTCTTCAATATTGCCTTGTGAGTAAACCTTATTATATTTTATGTTTGGTGATTTTATCAATTTGTTTTCTCAGAGTCTTTTATTTTTGTTTTTTGCTTTAACGGTGTTGCGATTAGGTCCATTAGCACATTTTCTAAATAATAAATAAATATAAGTATTAAGTCTGTTAATGATCTTATTAGGTATATCATCGTTTACTACAATACTATTGTGAAATTGCTTTATGGAGGATATAGAATAAGGAAAGCTTCCATATCACTATTGAGGGACAGTTCAAAGTTGAGATCAATAAGTCAAATACTGGCCATCGAACCATCAATACACATTTCTAAAAAGATTTAGAGCTTGATTGATCAAGTTTAGACAGTTAATAAGTATATTACTTGTAAGCGTCAAAATAAGTTACCTATTTTGACAGAAAAGTAAGATTACTTACAAATTAAGTGTTTGTTTGGTAGGGATTTTGGTAAATGATTTTTTTACTGTTAGAGATAAAGTGGGTCCTACCTATGAAAGAATAATTCAAAAATGACGGTTGAAATGGTGAAATAACGGTCAAAAAATTGATTTTAATTGCCTTTTAAGCTGTACCAAACAAGTTCTAAGTCTTTTTTTCTTAGAATTAAGAAAAGGCAAGTTATCCAAACATAGTAGAAACAAAAAGTTTCTTAAAGTTAGTATCACATTTTTTAGCTTATCCGAACATGCTCTAGTTTATCCTCTGTAAGCTCACTTTCTGCTGTTCGTGCATTTGATGTTTCCATTGTTAATTGTTTTCATTTTCTAAACCGCGTGTTTTGAAGGGGCTTGACTGGATTAGCTGCAGCAATGTTGTTATGGCCTACAATCACAGAGCAACTCCACCATGCTCGGAATATTCACCACAATCTAGAAACTCAATGCCCTACGGCTAAGACAGGACTTCTAGGTGGGGGTGCCTTTCTATCGCTTGATTCTGCCCTTTTCTGGTTGGTTTCCCTGATGTTGGCTGATAATGCCCGAGAGGATTATTTTGAAGAATCGGGCGATAAAGATGCATCCAATGAAACCATAAAGGGCAGTGTTTGAGTAGTCTTCTACTATAACTTGCATGCTTTAGCTTGTGGGTTTTACATTTGTATATGGCTATGAACAATAAATCTACTATTAGCTTCTCTATATGGTTCTAGTTCCATTAATGGAAATACTAGTTTTATTTTCTCTCTCTTTTTTTTTTTTTTTTGGACTTCATGTTGAACAGTTCTTTGGAAGCAAAAATATGTTGTAGATTTAGATCCAATTCTCTATTTTTTTATCCTTTGCTAGGTGCACGTTGACACCCCTAGTTTAAAGGTTGAAGGAAAGAATTTGCTAGACGATAATTGTCTGAAATAATTATCGTTTAACTCCATTTTATCTTGAAAAAATAAAAATAATTTTAAACCATACATTGAGGACCCATTTTTCATAATTGGTGTGTGAAAATTCTTTTGAAATTTACTTATTAAAATATCTGCATTCATTGATGAGAAACTAATTCGTTTGCCTTTTCATTGAAATGGTAAATTGCAAATATAGGATGCAACTCGAAGCAGTGATTCTGAACGTGGCTTTTTTATTCGTTGCAATCTTATCCTCATCCCTCTATAACTTATTAGAATTAGTCCCTAATAATGGTTTTGGAGAATTTCGAGCTTTAAAATTTCAATATTTTCTAAAAGTTGTTTCCTCTAGTTTGAAAATGTTCTACGTATAACATATCTTTAATTCAAAGATTATGCTACGTGTACAAATTTTTTTTACAAACTCTCTTACTCACTATTCACAATGAGGGTGGGGACAACAAGCCGACATTTTTTAAATTCATGTGGAGTCCGTTAATTTTGTGAGAATGTGTACACCATTTGTCAACAAAATTTTGTACAAATATCTTTATCCTTAATTTAATTTTCAATCACACCAAAGATGAAATTTTATGATAATCATTTATGGGAACGAACTTATAACGATAAGTGTGGTAGTAAATTAGAAAGTATATGTCTTGGGCAAATTGAATGTACTTACCGAGTCAAGGTGAATGGGCGGCGAAGAATGTCAATTACTTAGGGATGTCAATGGGCCGAGCCGGCCTAGGTAAATGGGCGGCGAAGAATGTCAATTACCCATGAAACCATGAGCTCGACTCGTGCTCGTTATGAAACGAGCCAAGCTGAGCTCAGCTCGTTCAAAAAAGGGCGAGCTCGGCTCGGCCCACGAGCTCGCGGCTCGCGGGTAGCTCGTGGGCCGAGTTGAGCTTGGCTCGCGAGTAGACGTCGTTTTTTTTTTTGGAGAACAAATAGGTAATTTGAAAAATAAAAAAGTAATTTTTTTTAACTAAAAGAGATAAAAAAAATAAATATGAAAGCTTTATTTTTTTTATTTTTATTTTTAATATAGATAAAATATAAACCCTCCTCCTTTATCTGGGTTTGGGACCGGCTACTTAAATTTTCAGTAGGCGGAGTTAAAAATTGTACACGAATAATTTTTTGTAGCGTGTACAATTTTTTAAAGAAAATTAAAAGTAACGATAAGAAAATAAAAGTTTAATCAATATAATTAAATCAAATATCACTTACTTGATGACATGCAATTTCGGCATATTTATCTTGTAGTTGAAAATGAGCGTCCTGCCAATCCTTAACGCACATTAACGCTTCTAAAATATTTTCTTTCAGTCAGCTCCTGACCTCGCTCAAAATTCTTTTACCTGCACTAAAAGCAGACTTCGAAACAACAGTACTAACTGGAGGGGTCAGCAGATCTTTTGTAATCGCAGATATAACTGGCCAACGTCGTTTATACCTTCGCTAGAATTCAATTACTTCGTTTGAACTTTTTTTAATTGTTTTATATGTTGGCATATTCTGGTTGAAATAATCAATTAATTCAGCAGGCAATGCATTATGACTTGAGTCCGTAGATGTATGATGAGAATGAGATACAGATGGTGATGACATGGCAATGGCAGTGGTAGTAGATGAACACATTGCAGATGAATCAAATCTATCAGAATTAATGCCTTGAAATAAATTAAATATTTCCGCATCTTCTTCTTCAATTTCAGTGGAAGTGGAAGGAGTAGGTGCAGATGGTACCCGACTAATATTGGTACCCATTCGGTTCACATATAATTCATATATTTCATATAATGTTTGCTCTAAATTTCTATATGTGATCGGTGTATCAAATGTTAAGGCGTTTGAAATTTGATCAATTATATATTTAGTTCCCGATAAATTATATCGAGGGTCCATCACGCATGCTAAAGAAAATAACATAGGCAAATCTTTCCAATATTTTCTAAATTTTAATTTCATAGCAATTATAATTTCACTAAAATTAGGGCCATTTCTGTATTTATGAAATGTTCTTACAATTATATAAAGACGTTCAAACACCATACAACTGGTGGGATAGTAAACGCCCGATAAAATCTTAGTGGTTTCATAAAAAGATGTCAAATATTTTTTAACTTTCAAAGTTAAATACCAATCACGTTCAGTCAACATCTCATCGTTATCACTTCTAACATGTCTATTGTTATAAAAGTCAGTTATTAAATGTTCAAAACCTTCATATAACTTTAATAACAAGTAAGTAGAGTTTCACCTATGACCTACATCGTTAACAAATATTTTAGCATTTTCCACTCCTATTTCGGTATAATAATCCTCAAATGCTTGTTTTCTACTTGGAGAGATTGTGATATATGTTAGTGCGTTCCTAATATTTTGAAATTCATCCTTTATATATTTTAAACTATCTTGGACAATTAAATTTAAAATATGACATACAAAACGAATATGAAACAAATACCCACCAAAATCAGGTTGTAGTACCCTATGCAATTTTTCAACATCTACTTTATTAACACTAGCATTATCGAAAGTAAATGAACGAATTTTACCTTTGCAATGATATTCTCTAACAATACTAATAATAACATTAAATATATTATTAGCGTTGTGAGGAAACTCAATAATTCTAAAAGCAATAATTTTTTATGCATGCACCAAAGTGAGTCTATATAATGTGCAGTTGCAGTTATATATGCTCTTTTATTAATCCCTTCCCATATTTATGAAGTTAAAGATATGACACCCCCATATTTTTGCAAATCTATAATTAATTGTTGTTTTGTTGAAGTAAAATATTGTATTGTATCGGAACGAAGAGTATTTCGACTTATCCCAACGTACCTTGGCTGCAAATATTCTTTCACATACGAGACGTAGTGTTGGTTGTCAATTAATGCCAAAGGCAACTCAGCACCAGCAACAAGTTTCACCATTTCGGTTCGAGCTTTCTCCTCCGAATACACCCATGTGGATAGGGGTGCAGTAGAACCACCGATGTCTGGACTGCCAAATTGCAATTGTGATTGACAGCCTGTAATAAGTCCATGTTTGGCCACACATATTTTGTAATAACGATTGAGATGGATGGTACCAATTCCTCTTTGTCATGCCAATCTTTGTTGGCAGTATTTACATACTGCTTTGGATTCTTGGACTCCATTGACTATTTTTCCCGTTGAAATCAACTTAAAGTAATCCCAACATTTTGCTTGTTTTTTCCCCTTTCACTTTCCCCTCGCATCAGGAATGTTTAATTCAGCCTCTTCTTCCTGATCGTGTTCTTCTTCGGGAATGTCAACATCATCCAAATTAATTGGATAATTTGGATTGCCACTTACATGATGATGAAGATCCAAATTTGGAATATTTTCAGGTAGGGGTACGTCATTTAGATCTTTAAATTGATTCTGAAATTGATTTTGCGGTGTCATAGGCTATTCGTTTCCTCCCACACCGAACAAGTTTTCGACAAATGAGCGTGGATCAATTTGTTTAGTTGTAATAAGTAATAACTAGTAGAAGAATAATTGTATAAATGTAGTGAGAAATGAGAATTGAATGAAATTTCAATAAATATAGTGAGAACTGAGAAATGAGAATTGGATATTGTATAAATTGTATATAAAAATTGCAAGTTATCAACACAATACAAGAAAGTTGAAAGAAAGATAATTGAGAGTTGAGAGAATTCTAAAAAAATTTGTGGCTAAATGCCACTATTTATAGAAGAAAAGGAAAAAAAATAATAAGGACCAAAACGGTCACTGAAAAAATTCAGTGACCGTTAACGATCAAAAAACAGAAAAAAAAATTAAATGAAGGACTGAAAAACGGTCACATTTCAAAAAATGTGACCGTTTCAGTCACATTTTCATACGAGCCCATGAGCTTGGGCTCGTGGCTCGTTTTTTGTGCGAGCTGTCGGCTCGCCCACCGAACCGGCCCGCTCGGGCTCAGACTCGTGTTTTTACTAGCCCGAGCCACCCACGAGCTCCATTTTCCCGAGCCGAGCGGGTGAGTCGACGAGCCGCTCGGCCCATTTGCCACCCATACAATTACCTAGGTTGGCGACTTCCATTTCCGTTCAAAGGGGCGATTGCCTAAGGCCCGTCTTAGTGTTCACGTTCGCACAACCCCCGTTAAAGTTAAAATTGGGTTGAACTGGTATTCATGAAAGGAAAAGCCACAGGTTGTATTATCCATGAATAGTGATGATCGGAGAGCATTTGTGAAAGGTGTCTTAACATTGAAGGAGCAGAGCATAGTGGATTAATGGTATCACAACCTCGATGCTGAGCTACAAGAAGACAGTACACTTCTAAGAGTGAAAAAGATAATCGCTCTAAGATATTGATTTGACTGAAAATCTCAGAATTTGTCTCTTCTTCTTTAGCATTTTCCTCGAGGATCATGTAAATGAAGCCCCGGAGACAAATTCGACTGTGGATAGCTGAACGATTCATTCCAGCAAAACCAAATAGGATAAAAGGAAAAGTTGTTGAAAGCTATCTTGAAATAATTGTTCAAAGATGCTTAATACATGTGGTAAAAACTAGTCTTGGAAGGTTAAGTAGGATCCGCATCCATGATGTTCTCCATTCTCCCAATCAAGAGAATAAAACATGGCAACCATGGGCGGATTCACTGCCCCCACACTAAATTTGAAATCCAAGATTTTGCAGTAGATCTTTTAAAATTTTACACAAAATTTTCAGGAAAAAAAAAAAGAAAAAAAAAAGAACCTTATAATTTTAAATTTTGCTCGCACAATTAAAATTTTGTGAAATTTGCCCTCACAACTCTACTCTCCTGGCTTCTCCCCT